CTAAGGTCCCTTCTACAGGTGACTTACAACCATTAGAAGATTGCTGAAGGGTGACAGAGCTCCTAGCTAGAGCTGGTGACCTTTCACCCAGGGCGGAGCTACAGCAGCCTTTGGGGGGCCCCGGCCCCCCCGAGAATATCGAAGTTGCGTATAAATGGATTGAGGTAATACGTATAAACTAAAAACGGTGTATATAAAATACGCGCTTGCAAGACAATGACACAAATTGTTAAGTAGCCTAGTGGTTTGTTGTTTTAATTGGAGCTATAGATCTTGGTTTCAATTTCCAAGAGAAGCAATTGCAGCTTTCCTTTTTTTCCATGATAAGCACTAAGCAGTTAATAGGGAATTAAGTTCTTTGTTTAGGCATTAAGCAGCTTTTTCCTTTCTTATTTTTCCGGAAATTATCAATTTCACTATAAATCCAACATTTAATTTCAAATTAGATAACTATTCCTTCAATTTTGAATATACTTTGTCTCTCTCAAGTCTCAACAAATCACTTTGACTTTAAAACAAGCATTTTATTTCAAATTAAATACTTAAATCCTTCAATTTTAAAGATTCTTTGAATAAAAGAATCAATTTAATCATTTAAGTTTAGTATTTTGTTTGTTTAGTTCAATAAATTAAAATTATATCAATTAATTTCTTCCATTTTAAGGATACTTTCGGATATATAATGAATGAGTCACACAATATTGAAATACATTATTAATCATTTTTATATTTTTCTGAATTGTGATAAAATTTGATTATAATTTTTATGTGTGTTTGTACTATATAAAGTTTTATTAATATTATGATTATTAGTATATTTTTAGGTTTTGCGGTAATGTAAACTCCGGCCCCTCGAACGCTAAATCCTGACTCCGCCCCTGCTTTCACCACATCAGCAAAACTCACTCGAGCTCTCCCAATAGATGAAGGGGACTCATTCCTACTCATATTCACGCTCACATTCTATTCTTCAGTAGTATCTCCCTGATGTGTGGAAACCAGGACCTCTTGGGAATCACCTGTAAACTCACCTGCACAAGTAGTAGTCAGTAGTCACCACACGAGAACTAGTATTTCCATATTCCTTTAGCTCATTATCTTCACTAGAAGCCCCAGCCTTATCTCCCACCTTTCCAGCTGTAAGCTTAGGCACCCAATTCATGTCCTAAATAGGATGGCAATTTCGACCTGACCCTTTTTATCCGACCTATTTTGGGGCGGGGCGGGCATGGGTACTCTCATCGACCCGACCTGTCCTGACCCGTTCAATTCTCAACCCGTTCTTGCCTAAATTACATATAACCTTACTCAATTTACTTAGGAATTTTCTTTTATTACATAATAATTTAGCTATAATAAAGTTGCAAATTAGTGAAAACCTCAATTTCTCTAATAGTTTAACTACATGTATCATAATAAGGTTTGTTTTCTTGGTCACATAATAAAAATAACGAATATTTCTAATGTTTTTCATATAAATTGCATACCCATTGGGTCGACCTGTCCCGACCTGCGATCCGTGATAAATTACCCGCCCTGTACCCGACCTGCCACGGGGCGCATCTGGGTACCAAGAAACTCGCCCCCAAATCGCCCCACTGCCATTCCTAGTCCTAAACTTTATTGCAGTTATGCCCAAATATACAACACTTGGAACAAACTTAAAGAAGATTGATATACTCAACCTCAATGTCAAAAGCTGGATCATCATCTGGATAAATCATGATTGAGGAGGGGAAAGCGTGATCAGCTCCCAGCTCCAAGCACGCATGAGCAAAACCTAGTTGCCCATCAACTCGAGTCTTCTGTTCCGTCCATAATGGCCGACCCACCATATGTTGGCCCGCCTACATATGGTGAGGAAGAGGCCACCAATTCAGCTGGCGGTGGAAATTAAGAAAAGAAGAAAAAAAATTCACTCAAGTGCAGTTGGGGAAATGGATAGCAGATAGATCCAATCAATTGGTTCCCCATTTGGGAACGTGATTCTCCCTTTCAGAATCATTCCACACTATTCCATCTTCTCCACTTCCTTCCTTTGTATGCTCTCTAAACTATTTCTTTTGTGGGTTTGTTTGGTAGTGAAACGTTTTCACTACCACGGGTAGATAGGAGATTTCCTTGTGAGTGAAATAGTGAGGTTGTTTGGAAAACACCGTGTGTTCTATTTCTTGTATCGAGAAAATCTCTGTAACCTACCATTGTTATAGTAAAGAAATACTCCGGAGCTGCTGTTCCCGTGGATTGGCCCAAAATCAGGGTATACCACGTAAATCCTCGGTGTCATTTATTATTATCTATGCTTGTTGCTATTTTGAGAATAGTCGTAGTATATTGCATTATTAAATTACCGAAGTAAATTGATCTAAGTAAGTTGGTTACCGTAATTCTGGAGGCTCTGCCACCAGGTCCAACTTACCTGTGAACTTTTTACAAGCGTGTGATTTCTTAGTGCAATATATTTACCCGCTATTCTCACCCGCTGCGCCCAACACATAATAGCAACCCATTCCATACCATCGAGAGCATTATATTCCAACGGCAAACCCCATATACGAATCCAAATCGGTATGGTCTCCACCCTAGGAACCACTGGCTGAATTCCCAATTTCCATTTTCGAAAAAACACCGGATTTCCATTTTCACCTCTTTAGGAAGACGAAAGCCATCTTTGAACTTAATTGGCGGACGATACTTCAACCGATTCTCTGGAGCAACTGAGAATAGTTGAGCCCAAGAAGAGCCCTCGCCAGTTGGTGTTGTCTCTGACAGCGAGGCAACCATCGATATTGTTAGGGGTGGATTTTCGGTTAGTTCGGTTATAACCGATAACCGAAATGTCGGTTACCGGTTAACCGCGACATCACCATTGCCTACCGCCAACCGCCCGACGGAAGCTATCGGTTAGCCGGCAACCGACCGGTCGGTTCCCGATTAGTTGCTCGGTTAACCGAAGTAACCGCAAAACACAATACACACCGGTTTAATCGAGTAACCGACCCGGTAACCGAACCGGACAGCACCCTATGCAAATGAGATCGATACTAAAGAATGGAACAAACAACGAAACCAAATGAAAGGAATTATTTGCACTTGGCCCAGCAAAAGAACAAGAAAGGGATTCCATCTGCTCTGCCCTCCCCTCCCATGTCCCAACAGCAAACCAAAACTAAAACAGCAAACCAAAATCAGCAAACCAAAACGAAAACTAGCAGTAGCAATGGGCTACTAACCATATGCAAAAAGGAAAAGAAAAACCAGCCAATTCCGCCGGCGGATTCCTAGGCCTCTACAATCTCACCACCAGCAACCAGATCCTCCATGTCGAATTCGACACTTTCCCCAACCCGGAGTGGGATCCTCCGTTCCAGCACGTCGAATCAACAACAACTCCGTCTTCTCCGCCAATTCCAACGCCACCCTTCACGCCGGAGACACCGTAGACTTCCGGATCGCTTACAATTCCACCACTACTCACATCAGCTTGCGTCGTCGACTCGTCGGGGAGGCGGGAGGGAGATGGCGACGTCGGCGGCAGGGAGAGAGTGAGGGCAGGCGGCGGCGGCAGGGAAGAGTGACGGCAGGCGCAGCGGCGGGGAGAGTGAGGGCGGCGGCAGGGAGGTCTCGCGATGGTGGATGGATGCAGAGCAGCAGACAGCAGCGATCGTTTTTAGGCGGATTAGGGTTAGGGTAGGTTGAAAGTCATATGCGGCGTCATTTTTACGAGGGTGAGGATGCGCGGTTAGTCGGTTTAACCGGCGGTTATTAATGTCGGTTAGCCGGTTAACCGGTTAACCGGCCTCCCCAAACCTGCTACCGAACACCGCCCGGGACATCTATTTTCGGTTAATCGGTAAACCGGTAACCGTCGGTTATCGGTTTAACCGGTCGGTTAACCGGCAACCGATAACCGAATGGCCAGCCCTAGATATTGTCAAGCACTAGATCAGAGAGAGAAGAGCCCTCATATTAATAACATCAATATTTACTTGTATTCTGAGAATTATATTATCATAAATACCCATAACATCAATAAATTAGTCATATTCTTAATGGTTAGCTGCAAAAATGTTTTGTTTTTCTTGTCGGATATGGGTTATGTGAAAAGCGGGCTGGATTATTGCCAAACCAGCACACAACCGGGTAATTCCAAAAACGAATTGTACCCACACGTAACTTAAAACCCGTTAACATAGAGTTTTATTCACGTTGACTAGTTGGCCTGGTTGGGTTTCGTGAATATGAGTTTAATTACTATTTCTACTCATAATCCAACAAGAGGCATAACAGAGACATTAATTAATAAACAATAGTACTAATATAGTGGTCGGAAGCCCCACTGGGACATGTTATGGTACACTATGACTGGTCACCATGATCAGCAAAGAAAAAATAGACAATTTAGGGCCTGTTTACTTTCATTTCTGTTTCCTGTTTTTGAGAAAACAGATGTTGAAAACAGGTGAAAACAACATTTTGTCGTTTTCGAAAACAGCAGGAAGTTGCCACTTTCTGTTTTCATAGTTGGAAACGAATAGAAAACAGAATGAAAAGTAAACAAGTTTTCTCATTTCGGTTGCCAAATTTATCACATGAAAACAGAAAACTGGAAACGAAAATGAAAGTGAACAGGGCCTTAGAGTTTCGGAAAAGTAAACCCCTTATCTTTTATATTTGTATTAGTCAATACATTAAGAGTAGTACTACCAATAAGAAATTACCAGTGGCATTATGAATATCTATACCAATCCATCTATACTAATCAGTAATCAGTACCAAATAACCAAAACCTATACCAATAACCCAAACCTTGCTTTTATCATTTTGATTAATTTTATTGGATTTTCGCGGTAAGAAAGTGAGAAACTTCGGCCCCCGAAGGCCAAATCCAGGCTCCACCCCTGTGCATATGGTTGTCATTATATATCCAAGAAAATGAAATCGACACTAAATCAAAATGATATATCTCCTCATGAAATTAGAATATTTGATTTGGTCGGTTCTATATAAAAAAAATCGATTGGCTTTGTCTGAGCTCCAAACCAATTCGATCATATTAGTCCAGATCATCCAAATTTCCAACCAGAGGAATGGAAAGAACTCAAGAAGCACAGTTAACGCAGAATCCTCTGTATAGTGGATGTAGCTAGGCAGCAACGGCCACATAGGATTTCAATACAATAGCCTATTTATGTCTTTCATGATTACAGAAAGTTAAGATTTTATAGGCCTTTTCCGTGGGATGAAGACCATCCCAAAAAATGTACTTTGAAGTATCGACACAAGTCGAAGGGCTCAATCGGTTGCAAAGAAATCCAAACTCTATAGTTCCTGTCCCGCAGCATCCGTCCTTCGTTACGACAAACCCTGCAATATATCCATCCACGTAAATAAATTAAACTTTCTTAAACCATGCATGCATCCTAACTAACTTGATTAAGGAGAAATTAACTTAACTAACTTAATTACCATAATTTTCAGGGCGCCTAATCATATCTAACAAAGGCGTGTACACGTCAACAAACTGGACGCTCAAGTCAGGAAGCGAAACGTCGTCGTTAAGTCGCTGAATTTCGTGGCCAAGCTTCTCGTTGAACATCACGGCCAGCTCGTTGGACTCGTCGGAACATTGCCTCTGTACTCCGCCGAGCAAAGTTCTGAAGGCGTGGATACATCCCGTCGTTAATGCACTCAGGTGAACGATCTTTCGAGCTCCCAGCCCGTACAGCTGCCTTAGAAAGGCGGAAGCCCGGCCGGCGAGAAAGCCAGCGTATGAAGCCATTTCCGACGACGACTTTGTTCTGGTATGAAACAAAGAGGCCAATAAGACGTCGTTGTTGCCACATGATATTACATAAATGCTGTTTTCAACGAAGTCGTTTGATGTCTGCTCTCCCACGATGTTTCTCAACTTCCCCACGTATTGTTGGAAGAGATTGAGTTGATTCGGAATCGATATGACCGACTGATATACATATTTCAAACAAGTCATGATTAGAAATAACTTATATAAGTATACATTAGCAAAAAGTAATTTTTCTCAGTGTTAATACAAAGTCAAGAAAGTCATTACCAATATTTTTGGTGTCTTGGGATCATAACCAGAACCAGACGAGGCAAAACACACTCCCGTGATGAGCTCCTTAGCTTGAAGATTCAGATCGAGATAAGGTGGTAAAAGATACTTGATTCCCAAACTTTCAACTGCACAAATACACATATTCTTAACAATTACTTGGCATTAAGATACATTTCAGACGTGAATACTTATCATAAGAGATTCCCAACATATAATAAGATTCTCTTTCTTGAAATCACCGCCTTTTCAAACCTAGAAAACATATGGAATTCTGGGCTTCTTCCTTGGAGCAATTACTTTAATTCATACTTCTTCTAATTGATTTAATGTATACCATACTCTCTAGTAAGATGATATACACTAGCTAACAACCAACACGGTGCTACATCTTATACACATTGGGAACGCAAATAATTGTAACCATATAGTGGTAACTCCATTAGCCTAGAACCTGGAGGTCCCAGGTTCGAATCCCTTAAGTAGTACCTTAATAGCAACAAAATGAACCTATATCACCCTTATAAAAAAAAAAAAAAAAAGTACCTATGAAGTCCGAAATGAGCCTTCCATCGGAGAATCTACCGGTGGGGATTCTTCCCGGAAAATCCCTTCCGTAGGGAGGGAAGTTGGACTTTATCAAAGTCGCGATATGGTCATTGTTGCCGGTATCAAGAATCGAGTCCCCGAAGGCGAAGACAGCTGAAGAAGTTCTTCTATTACCAACTGTTACGTTTTCAGGTGGCGGCGGCGCCATAGTTATTGCAACCGCTTCGCTGAAGAATAGAGGACCAATGGTTAGAATAAGCTGCAGCAAGAAGAAGGAAACGATGACTAATGATTCGGAAGAAGCCATATTAGTATTCCTAGCTTAATTAGTGTGTTGGGTTGATTAGTCTACGCTAATCTTTTGATTTAATTTCCATCTACATATATCTATATCTATCAGGTAGCTGATGTCCTTATGAAATGCAGTTGAGGCGGTGGCTCTGCCAACAACCTGCTGCCGTCATTAATTCCGGCCTCCACAATAATGTTCTTCCCACACTGTTGGAAGGCTTATTAAGGACCAATTATGTCTGAGTACGTGCACTTTTATGGAGTTCATTGCGTGTAGAAAAGATCATTTCTGGTACAACGTAACTCTGAATAAAGGTGATTTAACAGGACGAAGTCTAGGAAGAAACATGGCGCACTCCATTTGTAATACGTAATTAACTGATCCATGATAAGGTATAAAAGGTTTAATTTGACTTCACAATAGCTTACAGTGTTCTTGATATTTATTCTGAAGTATAATTGGTACAAGTTGATTTCGAGAACGGATGGGGATAATCAACCATGCAAGAAGGAAAACAATAGAAACAAAGAATACAACACATAGATAGATTTACGTGGCTCATTAATACAATGGGTGTCTAGCAGCGGCAAATTTAGGATAGGGTAGAGCACTGAGCCAAAATTGAAAAGAGGTGGAGAAGACTAGCTCTGGATCAAGGGGAGGATTGGGCCGTGGTCCGGGGGCGGCCACCCAAGATCCGCCGCTAGTGCTTGGTGCTAGTGAGTCCTCGTTTGCGCGCACGTGAACCAACCTAACAAACAAGGAAAGGATGCCTCTTCGGGCATCTGAGAATGATTCGGGCTGTAGAGAGTCAGCTGCTTCACTATATTTGAGGAGATTACAAAATACATAGGGATTGACAAGTATATATAGTACTTCTCCATATGGCCTAACTCTAATCTACCATGGTAAATAATAAGGTTATAGACCAGACTCGGAACAAAAACTTAAACGTATATAAGCCCATACACCATTAATCGGACACCATTGATGGGCAAGAGAACCTTTACTCTCCCGAGCCCCCTAACCAGACGTCTTGCTCCTAGACCCCGGCTCGCTTATCGGTCAACGAGACCCCGTGACTTCAAATCGATGACATTGCAATTAAAGAAAAACAGACATAACAATAAAATACATATACATGAAATGCAGACTTGCGGGGGCCAAGCTTGGTACACAAAGACCAAATAATGCGGTGTAATATTGAATGATCAATGTAAAAATACAACCTCAAAGTTGGCATTAAGAGCAACAGAACATGAAAGTGCAAAAAATAATGGATTGAAAGTTTGAACAGACTAATAAATAATGTATGGGACACAAGCATATGCGTGGAAGTAAGAATGAGAGGTGCGTTGTCCTTCTCATTTCGTACGAAGGGTCATACCCTACCTACTACTATTTTGTCTTCTCCCCAACGATGTATGTATGTTCAGGATATAGTAATGAGAGAAATTCATCGCTAATTTTGTTGCGCAAATTACGGGTCGTTTGGAAGTTGTGATTTTAAATGGTGTATTGAGTCAATTCATGTATTTGTGAGATTAAGTCTCTTTTTTGGCCTATATTGAACTAGAATACATGCATTAATTTTTTGGAGGTCTCACTACAATCACTCATAGTTGAGATTCTTCACAAACACTCAAAATTGACTTTTATTGCTTTCCAACAAACCACAATCTAAACCTCCAAACAAGATATTTTCCTAATACATCAATTGATTCAATACATCAAATGATAATACAACTTCCATACACTACTTCACATGTTTTATTGCTAAAAATGTTCTCTCCATGATAGCCGTTGAAACGGGCATGGTCAACACTAGACGAATCGAAAGACAAATAAATTTGTATTGTGTGTCCATCTCTATTTCCCCAACTTCACTAGTAATTTTGCAAGGGAAGAAACTTCATATTATCGACTAGGAACCACATGAGCGGCGTAATATCATAGCTCATTCTTCAAAGAATACATCTCATAACATTCAAAGTCTCGAGGCTAAACTCTTGAGCAAGCTTGTTAATATTTTCTTCATCAAATGACCGAAAAGAACTGTTAGTATCTAGTGCACCAATCAGCTCAATCTAAATGACGACTCAACTAGTTTGTACATATTTTCCTAATCAAAAGACTGGAAAGAAAACTAGCGCCCGACGGACAGGCGAAGGAATTCATTTGGTGTCCGTTTGTTTCCTCGTTCTTTTTTTTGGGGGGGGGGGGGGGTTGAAGAATTTTTTTGAGTTTTGACAGGGAAGGCTGAACTTTAATTTAGAGCTATTTTTTTATACTTCAATGAAACTATATACTTAGTCGTTTACGTTTTAGACTTTTAAGTTTTTATTGTTTTTTAGATGAAAATCATTAGGGCTAGAATTTCTACGCTAAATTTATAGTGCCTTGGATATGTTCATCTAGACCAATTTCCTAGTTACACATAATCCTACTATAAATTAATACTCGACAACTTTTAATATTAGATCCGTCGTGTATGTGCTTATGGGTTAAGAGTGTTAGCGAGATTCGTGGCAGAGTCGGAATTTGAAACTACTCTTATTCTCTCTTCATAATAATTTTTTAAATAATTAAATAATAATTTTTTAATAATAAAATTAAAAATAATAATATCTAAACATTTCATTATTGATATCTTTTATTGCTTTCATAGTTAATTTTTTTAATTAAAATTTTTTTTATAAGAATCGGTTAGATAATTAAAAAATATAATTAAGTACTATTAGTTCATCTAATTGCATTTCACGCCCTGCATTCTTTACGTCTTTTGGTCCGCCACCACTCCCCATTCCATTTCTCTTAGTAATCCCTCCATTGGTATTTCTATATATTCTTTCTATGAAAGTAGGATAATATCCTCATTGTTGTTTTATCTTCTAAAAAAAGAGCGGGCTTAGTAGGGGGAAGCCCCTATCTACTTTATTATTAAAGACATGCTACTCCGACTGTGTGGCATTTGTGCTTTCTTGTAGGAACCTTAACTATGAGACAGCAAATGGAAGTCACTTATTATCACAAGAAGGATTCATTTGTACGCCTCTATGGGATACACCATTGCCAACCCGGTTAATCTGCTAACTGGTCTTTTTGTTAGTATATACTAACTGATATCCCATAGTGTATGAACTAATACCCAAGTCTTTGTGAACAAAATAATTCGGGTTATTGATCGGTTTGGGCTCTGATACCATGTTTTTCCACTAAACTTACTGATTTAGTAATCTTTGTTTAGTTTTGTTTAAGCTAGTTATTATATCAGTAATTAATTTGGTTTTAGAGATAGTTTCTTCTAATGTTTCTGTGGTTCCAATACTCATTTGTTCTTCTACAATTTCTGAGGCAAAGTAAGTCAATTCTTGTATGACTGTACTGATATCATTTATTGAGGTGAGATTTATAGCATCTAATCCTTCAATTAATTTATTTATATGATAGTTAGTAGGCATATTTAGATTTTATTCTCTAGATTTGCTATTGCATGTTGCAATTTTTCTAGCTTATTTATTACTTGATTATTGGTTATCTCTTCAATTAATTTATTTACTTGCTTATTGGTTATCTCTTCTTGTTCTAAATTTTGTTCAATTACTGGGATATGCCTAATTCTCTCTAATTGTGTTTTAATTAATCGTCTTTGATCTTGGGTTATCGATGGTCGACTAGGTTCTATTTTAACAGTCTTTAATTGTGCTTCTAGTTGAATTAAAGGTTTAAATAAATCTTCTATAGTAATTACTTCTTTATTTTTTAAGGTTAAGCTGTGGTGACTATTTGTTAATGCATAGTTTATTTGATAAGTTACTGAAAATGGTTTGCTATTTTCTTTCGTAAAATTTTCTCTTTTTAATTCGTATTTTATAATGATAGAAGAGTCAAGATTACCATCTGTCAGGCTTAATCCTTATTGTAGGTTAATGTCAAATTTAATTATTCCTACTCCTAAATTTCCCGTTCCTTTAGCAATAATACTTTCTTCTTCGTTTAGGAGCCTATCATCACGAATTTCTAGTTCCATGGGTGTGTCAATTCCTATTTTCATGGTTGATTTTAATATAATTTGAATTGTACTAATATGAATATAAGCTATTTTATTTCGTTCTTCTGATCTTAGTTTAGCTAATCTTTTTCTGATTTGTTCTTTGTTTATTACTTGGATTAGGAAATCACCCTTAGTTTGATCAATAGGGACTGCTACTTCACCTATCATTTTACCGTATTTAATAATGTTTTCTCTATCAAAGAGCTTTGATAAAAAAGACTTAGTGATCAAGTTCTGAGTTTCTGAAATAGTAAAATTAGTTTTTTCTCTAATTTTCTTAATGTCTATAACACCATCTAAGAAGTAGTTTTCATTATCATTTTTGTTTAAATAGTCAAAATAAATTGAGGTAGGATTATCAGACATACCTGACTTGTTTTTCTGATGGAACTCTGAGCTTTTTAATGATCGCTTGATGATTGTAACTTCTTCCGTGCGTTTGATTATATTGAAGATGATTGTGGCCTCCAGGATCAGTGGATCCAAGCCTTACAACTAGCTAGCTAGAGGGAGAGAGTAAACAGGCAATTTTTATGGCCAAACTCGTTCTGCCTTATTTCATTGAAAACTCTTGCTCTTATATAGAGCTGAGAGGAAATACAAAGACGTCATTGCTTACGTCTGTTAGACAGGGACGTAATGCTTAACACGTCAAAAGTGCGCGAAACGATAAGAAAAGCTGATAAAATACAATAATGCACGACTTTTTTAAAGGAGTCGGCCAACCTTCTCTTATCGTTTTATTCCATATTTGTTTGATTCCTTTTTCTTCACATGCTTCTGTCAGTCTTGGTCTGTTGGTCCACTGATGTCTTCGTCAGTTGATGCACACCACTCACAAAGATGGTCTTCATAGATAGTAAGCTCATTGCATAACTGTTTCTTGATTTGAATGGGAAGGGTTGACAGATTCCCATTAATTTTCGTGAATTCCTTAATTTTATCTGTTATGATTGTCCATTCTTCTTTGGTCATGTTTCCTCTTGTTTTGCTGGTGATGATGGCATCGGGGCTGCTGTAATTGACTTTAATCTGGCTTTCCGGTTCAATTTTGGTTAATGC